TCTGTGGATTTCAAAAGATATGTTTATACACGATATTCTTCTCACAGACGGATTTCTGAGTCTGAAGTTTAAAATACATCATCTTGTATAACTGTATTTGTATTTTTCATTTTATTCTATAATTTAAATGTATTTATTATAATTTGCATATTAGAGATCTAATACAGGAATTTCTTTAATTTTATATGATATCATACTTGGAATCACAACCTATTATACTAGAAATATACAATGCAGAGATAAAATATCAAGCCCTTGAAGGTTATTGTACTAGGGTTGTAGAACCAGTGTGGCTGTGAAGTCAGATTTGTAAGCGTTACACTTGGCGTTGCATGGCAAATTGTCACACTTTTTTGTTTCAAAGTTGGTGTTGAGGCTAGTCTTCCCGAACCATACCGGGAGTTGCGACTACGGTGCAACGATGGACCCAAAACACAGGCAGCTGGGGCGGAGAATAGTGACGCCAATACCACACGTTCTTCTACTGCGCTCTGGGGAGTTGTCAAGAGCTGAGCCACTTTCAGGAGAGATGCGAGAGTTTTTGCGGCACCAATAGTACCATTCATGAGGGATATTATAAGTTAGCTAGTTCGTCTCGTGGTTGCTTTTCAACAGATTGTGGCCACCGGTAAAATATTCTCCTAGCTCCGGTTACTCATTTTATTTGAGCTTCGTAGAAGTCGCTGGTTGAATGGTGGGGTGGTGCGGCCAGCGGGTTCACTGGTGGAGGCCTAGGGGCTGCCAAGGTAACTGAATTACTGGGTTTTAGTAGGTTAAATGGTTCCCCTGTTCATACCCAGCTATGATACTGATACGGTATCTTTGCCATGCCCCCGTAAATGTTTATGTGGTACTGAACACTTATCTCGAAAGTGTGATCTGATGATCGGATAAGCCATCTAATCTGATGACCTGTTCGAACCTTAACACCTACCGCCCAGAAGGAAAGAGCCATCTTGGCCACCCAGAGCGAAGGTAGAGGAATGGGGGTGGAGAATGCGGGAAAGAGGAAAAAGAAGCAACACATATCCCTGACTTGGCCAGTACGAGTACGGGAAGAAGTGGGGAATGCTTCTCACAAGAGTTACCCATTGACCTGGGGTGGGGCTAAAAAGTCTCAGACCAAAAGTTGTACGATACCAAAGAGCTTTGTTCCGGAAAACATCTCACAATCCCTTAGGGTTCCCCTTTTCTCTCGGCACCTACCCCCCTATGTCAATTTTCCCACCCTTTGCTTGATCCACCTTCTGCCGAGAGATAGAGGAACCAGCCCGAAATGACAAGCACCATTACTGAGGCTCGATCCCCGCCGAACAGTGAGTCGACACCCCTCCTCGGGAATGGGAACGACCCCAATCTCGAGTCGCAGCCCCACCAAGAGAATGGACACACCAATACCCCCCCGCCTACCCACGATCGGAATGCGGCTAACGACTTCCCACAAGAACTCCCTTCTGCAAAACTTTTGCATTTTCTTGCTAGCAGTTTGCGTTGGCGTCTTCCTAGGTGCTGTCGACACTACCGTGATAACTACTCCCCTAGCACTAATTTCAACTTCATTCTCTTCATTCAATTCTATCTCCTGGATAGCAACCGGGCACTTTATCGCCGATGCCGCTTTACAACCGTTCTTTGGAAAATTAACCGATATCTACTGATGCAAATCTGTCCTTGCGCTGTGTAATGTTATTTTCGGCATGGGAACGTTGATTTTTCGTCTTACGAAAAATCAATACTCCATGGTTATCAGTTGGAGATGGGCATTCGTCCTACAAATCCCTTTCATAGCGATTTCAGCTACTTTGGGGTCAATTTTCGTGAAGATTCGCGGGAAGAAGCCCGAAGAGGTACGATAATGTATCGAAGGATTAATTACCTATGTTCGGGCACGTTGCTGGTTACCTTCTTGCTGGCGATGAATACTGGCTGAAATACGCTGCCACCCCGTTGGGATGAGATGTCTACCTTTGGGCGCGGTTTTTCTAGGCGCCTTCTTCATCGTCGAGTGGTGGTATGCGAATGGGCCCCTCATTCCGGTAGACTGTAGGGGAATAGAACTGTGTTGACGGTTTGCTTTACAAATTGGTTCATGGTGATGAGCGTTTTTGCTGTTGTGCCTCGGCGCCTACCCATCGAGACACACAAAGCTAATGATATTGTCCAACAGTACTTTTAAACTCCAATATACTTTTACCCCCAGCGGTTACTCCACTACGCAGGCCAGCCTCCGCCTAACGCCCTTCGCCATCGGCACCTCAATCGGAAGCCTAGAGGCAGGCCTCATCATAAATGCCACTGGAAAATACAACACCCTCGGCCAAACCGTCATGCTAACATTCGTCCAGGGAGTGCTCCCGGTTTGTGCATTCCGCCTGACAACCCCGCTCTTTCCACAACTCTTCAACTTTTTCATGGCCGGCTCCGGTTACGGTGGAACACTAACCGTCACTCTGCTAGTACTAATCTTCTCAGCAGACCACAGCGAGCATGCCGTCATTACATCTGCTACCTATGAATTCCGTTCCAAGGGTAGCACAATTGGTACCACTATCGGTAGTTCCATCTTCCGGAATGTGTTGGTAAGGCAATTGCGTGCGCATTTGGGGAGTGGGGACGCGGGGGAAGGGATTAATCTGGAGGCTGAGGGAGATGTTCGATGAATTTGACAGGCTGTCCGAGGTGTGGAAGGGGAAGGCTGCCTTTGCATATATGGATGCGCTACACACAGTCCTTTGGGCGGAGCTTGAACTGGGTGTTTTGGCGTTTCAGTGTTATACACAAGAGAGGGAGCATACACAGCACAAGACGTTGGATAGGAAGTAGGGAGTCTACCAGGGAAGGTGCGGAGGGGGTAAGAAATACGGGTGGAGCGCGGGACAGAGTGAAAAGTCTGAAGCGGGTGGAAGCCAAGGAGAGAGGTTATGAGACGAGAAGCGTGACGAGGCATCGTCGGACATGCTGTATGCACCGGTATGTATGATACTCTCCATATTACAGCATAGCCCTTTGAACGATGTACTCCAAACAATTACCAAACCCGCACTCACTCTGAACTCGCATACCGGTGGGCGGGGAAAAAACAAAAGGTCACAACCCTCTTCCAGACATCCAAAGCCATCCACTTGCTGACCAAGGATTTTTACCACTACCTTACACATTTTCTGAGTCCCGTTTAATGATCAAGTACACAATGTTAATACGATCCCTCTCATCTCCCGCACTGCTGGAAAACCCTCCCCTTTAACCACATGCCCCAAATGGCCGCCACAATTGGTACAGATGATCTCCGTCCTGTGCATGCCCAAGCTCCCAGGCTCGCGCGGGCCAATGGCACGCGACATGCCCTAAAAGAGGGCTGGCCACCTGCACCTGCTGTCGAACTTGCTGGTGCTCTTGTACAACGGCGCGCTGCAGCCCGCGCAAGTGTAGACTCTGAAAATATTGGTAACTCAGACGCTTGTCTTAAGATAATAAGCTGGCAGTGAGAGTTGAACGCAATATAGTATTAAACTGTATGATAGGGTTCCCCGCTTGCGCTATCGAACTAAGAGATAACTTAGGAGAAAAGACTCATATTTATTTGTTTATGGTACAAAAAATCGCATCGCCCTTGAGCCAGGCATGGCGAAAACAAACATCACGCAGGGGAAACCCGTACAAAAAATAATAATCCGAAAGCTACAGAAAACCCTTCCACCCCTGAACCAATGCCAAAAACCAACACAAAGCAAAAACCTGAAAGCGAAACTCAAACCAAGGAAGGCAGGTGGAGGGAGAAAGTAGCTGAAGCCTCCAAGCCAGTGACCAGGAAAAAATGGTCTAGGCCAAAAGGGTAGCCATATAGTGTCAGTGTAGGAGGAGGTAGAGGAGGGTCCAATTGACTCATAGGAGGGCAGAATTGTACCAGCCAGGAAGCAGTAGGATGCAAGCTATGTGGGGAAATAGTAGGGTACCAGCCAGGTACTAGTAGAGTACCAGTTAGGTAGTAGTAGGTTGCATGGTGATTGACAGCGGGGAGAGGCAGGAGGCAAACAGCAGGCCAGATCAGAAAGGACACAAGAAATGATACAGCTGAAGGCTGCAAGGCCAGGATTACAACAGCCAGGTCCCAACCTCCAAACACTTCCAAGTCTGATATTTTACCACATCTCTCATATAGTCTCTTGTTCTGAAAGAGATAGCATCACTTGGTAGGTAGGATACCACTACTGAGTACTACAAAGATGGCAGGAAGCAAGACTGCTGTCAGTGATAACCTGGTTGACCATGATCAGACTGACTAAAGTGAGGGGCTTCCCTTCACAGGGCCAATGCAAGTAACCATAGAAAAACTTAAGTGAGGAGCAAAGGCTATCCTTCACTGAGCCAATACAAGTAACCATAGAAAAACCCAGATGAGGAGTAAAGACAACCAAGTGGGAGGGGGATAAAGACTGTAAAGGCTTACAGGGAATAGGAGATGGCCTAAGTACTACAAGAGGAGAGTAGGAGCAAGGAGCCTTCCTAGTAAAGGGGAGGGGGCAGAAGGAGAATGGAGCATGCAATAGTTTCTCATGGTATTGAGATTTGAGTCACAAGGAAAATAGATGTGAAAGTCAATGAAATAACTAAGGGGAGAAGAAAACTCAGGTTTTATTTTTATTTGTTTACAGTACAAAAAATTACGACATCCTGTTTACATAGTGATAAAAAAATATCATATGTGAGAAAACTATACAAAAAAATTAAAATCCCAAAGCTACAAAAACATGGCCACCCCAGAACCAATACCAAAATACAACACATAGCAAAAACCTAATGACCAAATCCAAGGACACACCCAACTCAGGAATTACATCCTGGAAGATACCTGGAACTGTAACCGGAGCTGGTACTCGGTTAGTTTGTTTTATGTTTTGTTTTAAGTATCAGTTGATACTTAGTTTGTTTTATGTTTTGTTTTAAGTATCAGTTGATACTTGGTTATTTTTATGCCTTGATTGAGTAAGAACATGAGTGAGAATTCATGATCGTACTCAAACACATGTACTTAAAAAGACTGCCGTCTTCAACTCTGGAAACGGCAGACTTCGACAGACAGTATTTTAATATACTCGGTTGAATGGTTATCTTTATTCTCCTATTACACCACCGAAGTCTCCCTTAGCGAGTCCAGAGTTGATAGTCCCCGGTGGGCGTCACCTCTCTCCTATTGTACCCGACAGCGTGATTAGCGCCCCGGCATGAACACGTTACATTTTTTTAACCTCAACAAGTGGTTATGATACGACGAATCAGGGCGTGATCAACCCATGTGGATTCAGCAACAGACGGTACCGGCACAACCGGCAGGCCACAACGGCCGGCTCCTGCAACAACATAAGTGCAATATAGATCCACTTACGACTCGAAGTGGGTGCCAGATCCGACGAGAAGGCCTGACCCAGAAGAAAGGGAAGAAACCAGACACAGGCAAAACACCCAGAGAATTCCCGGAATCACCAGCAAAAGAACGCAAACCACCACAACCTCCGGTAAGCAGCTGTAGCTCTTCTGAGGATGAAGAAAACATGTCTGGACAAGGTACACCGGCGCCCCTGGGCCCACCAGCTCCACCGGCAGACCCACCGAAACCAAAGCCAAAAATAAAGCTCCCACAGCCTAAAACATTTTTGGGGAAAGGAGAAGCCCTTACACCGGAAGCATTCGAAAGGTGGCTTGTAACCGTGCGTCAATACCTAACAACATACCAGATCGACTTTAAAGATCATGGCTCAGGAATTTACCTTGGAGCTTTCTGTACAGATGATGCAACAGAAGCCTACCAACAATGCATTGCGGAATACCGCGAGCCAGACAGCGTATGTGCAATGACTATTGCCAACTTACTAAGGGCACGATTCCAATCATCCCGCAACAAAGAGGAAATATTTGACAAATTCAATGCCATCCAATAAACCCACGGAGGAAGAACGGACAAAATAACCAAAACGGCAACCACACTACTTATGTACCATAGCCGGTTACTGGCTGGAATGATATCAGCATACACCCTTAAGAAACGATTCTACGAAAGCATGCACAACAAACTGCGCCAAGTGGCGGAGCCACATGGGGCAGCAGCCGATGACATCCATGCGATAATCGCCAGAGCAGAAAAACATGATGCTATCCTATGGGATACGAATGTGTATAAAACACACGAGACTAAGGAAAAGAAAGGGCAGCAGTACAACCCTACCAAGAAACAGAAAAAGAAGGGAAGGACAAGCCCACAGAACAATCAGCGACAGCGACAGCGAAAGGAAAATAATAAGTACTTGGAATGCGGGAAAAAGGGGCACGCTGCTAAAGATTGCTACAAACGGAAATCCAAAGGCAAGCCCATAAAAAAGAAAGCCTCCACCAACCTCCGCGAAGAAGGAGAACAGGAAGACTACATTGAAGAAGTAAACATCAATTCGGTAACGGCAACGATCGACTGTTATAAAACAACCCCGACAAATAGGAGGATACACTCCTTCCAGTCACTGGAGGGAACAGTGAACATCAACGGGTACCCAGCAAGGGTCCTGTTTGATACCGGAACAATACGTTCTGACATCCTCAGTAACACGTTTGTGGCCACGCACGGCCTGAAAACCCAACCTACGAGACACCCAGTAATACTCAACATGGTAATGAAAGGATCTCGTTCGACCAGTAACACCCAGAAAACTGCTACAGTGAAGATTGGGAAGGCAAACTTTCCAAACAACCCCATGCTAATGGGGAACATAGCAAAATACGATGCACCCCTCGGAATGCCATTTATGACATGTCACAAAGCAAGTATTGGGTGCGGCGACATGACAATCACCTTCCCGGATCAGAAGGTAAAGGTATCGTGCAAACCAACTAGTGGAGAATACCGAATGGCGGTAACAGAAACGTGACAAACTATAATGGAAGAATTTGCTGACGTCTTCCCAGACGAGATACCAGAAGGATTGCCGCCTTTGCGAAAGATCAACTACCGTGTGCAACTAATTCCAAGATCACAAATCAAAGACGAACCTACGTAATCAATACCTGAAGCGTACAACTCCAAATTGCACGAGTGGACCCAAGCAAAGATAGACCAAGGAGTTATTTACCGTGAAGCGGTAACAGGAGCAGCCCCTAGGTTTGTGCAACCCAAAAAGGACAAAGAAGGAATCAGACCCCTGGTTGACCTCAAACGTCGCAACGATCAAATCATAAAAGACACACCCGCAATACCGCGGCAGCAAGACATCATCAATGCGGTAGGACGAAGGAAATACCGGAGTAAGATAGATCTCCGCGACGCGTATTTCCAAACAAGAGTGGACCCTAGGGACGAGAAAAACAATTCCTGCAAGTCGTTATTCGGAACCATGATTAGCCGAGTAAGGCTACAAGGAGATAAAAATGCACCCGCCATATTCATGTGAATAATGGAAGATCTGTTAGGAGAATACCCACATGATTTTGTGTGGGTGTACATCGACGACATCCTAGTATTCTCAGACATGGCCGAAGAACATATGACCCACCTACGGAAAGTTTGTGAAAAACTGCGCCAGGCACAGTACTACGCGAGCAAAAAGAAATCAGACCTATTTGCTGAGAAACTAGACATATTGGGACATATTATTGATGACAATGGCATCCATGCAGCCCCTGAAAAGATACATGCCCTGGAAGACTGGACCATACCAGCAAACAAAAAGGAGCTACAACGAGTTTTGGGATTACTCAACTATGTGGCACAGTTCCTGCCACATCACGCCACCTTAGCGGGACCCCTCACAGACCTAACTGGTGGGGCCGAATGGGTATGG